AGAGCGGGACCATCATCAGCTTTGCCACGAATCGTCGGAGAAATTTCAGTAAAAGGATATGAAACGATACTTTCCTGCGAAGGTTCGGTTTCCCGAACCTCCCGATGTGTCAGAAAGCGACAATCTCTACTCGTGATCATCTTGTGCGTCTTGGGATCGATGAAACGATAGGCCTTATGGTGCAGCGAGTAGGCCACAAACAGCATCTTCTTGGATTTCGCCTCCAACTTCGAACGCTTCTCGGATGGAATGCACACGTAAGTCCTGACTTCTCTCCAGTCCAGAGCTCGTACGGTGCCTGCTACATGGGTTTGGTTGGCAAACGATTTTGAAGGTATGTGGCCGTATTCACTGCTGGAGCCCAATGCTTGTACGCGGCAGCTGCGCGTCCAGAATCATGCAACGGCCCATCTCCACCAAAGAACGATTCTTACGCTCCGAGACCCCGTTCTGCTGCGGGGTGTACGCTGTGGTAAACTGCTGGCTTATACCTTCTTGGCGGTAGAAACGGTCGAGGGCTTCATTCTGGTACTCACCACCATTATCTGACCGAATCACTTTGGGCGTTCTTTCGGAAAACAAAATCTTGACAAACTTCACGTATTCCTTGATCCGCTCAGTAACCTCCAACTTCTGTTTCAGAAAATATACTACGGTGTAGCGAAAGTGGTCATCAATCATCGTTAGGAAGTAATGTCCAGCGGCTGCTTCGACTTCTTCTTGGACTTCTTTGTAAATGGTAGACTGGCCAGTTTCCCTTCCAGGCAACACTCACAAGTAACGCAACACCTGCAATCTTCGATGTGGATTCCCGATGCTAGTCCTTTCGTCTCCAAATCACGAATCGCATCTGCCTCACGATGCCAAGCGTGCAAACACTCCTGATTGTTGTTGGACTCACCTGCCTGCAGCGCAGCATGCTCAGTCCGCAATTTGTAAAGTCCCCCTGAAGTGGTTGTGCCTGCAATCACCTTGTCGTCCTTAAGTATACGGCACCCATCCGCGTCGAACACGAACTTGGCTCCCTTGGCTGCAAGTTTCTTCACCGATATGAGGTTGGCCTCGAACTGCGGGACGTACATTACATCCGAGAGGAGAACAGTGCAGCGTTCACCCTCTGGAGACACCCAGATCATCCTGCACGAACCAGCTCCTTCCGTGGATGGCAAGAAGATCCGCCAGAAAGACGCCATGCTTCACGCTTTTATCCAGCTCGATGAAACTGTCCGCATCGTCGCACATGTGGGACGTAGCGTCAGAGTCGATGATCCACGCATCACGTCCACTCGCCTTATGCAACGCCAACAATGTAAAATCTTGCAACGCATTGTCCTTGGAGTCTTGACGAGCCGTCTTTGCTTTTCGTGCCGCTCTCTCGATTTCACCTTGTCGCTGCGATTTTCCATCTGAGCACGGATTCTCTGCATCCTCCGTTTACCCATTAGGCCACCTCGTCCGTTAGCTTGGACTTGATCAGCTCGAGACTCAAGTCATCGTCGGACCTAGTCTCCAACGCCGTCGTGAGTGTGTTGAAGGATTCGGGTAAGCTTCGTAGCACCATTGCCAGCTGCAAACTACGGTCCAATGCCTGGCCCGCCAATCGACAGTCGACGCTCGAAGAGGTCATCCATCTCGCACACGTGTTGCCCGATGTCCTCAGCATACCTTGTTACAGCAATGACACTTTGGAAGTTAGCGTCACCTTCTCGTAGTGGTCACGGAGAGCCTCTCAGGTTTGCTTTGCCGTTTTTGACTTCTGGTCTCCGGTGTCCCACGCTTCGATTTCCGCTGCAGTAGCGCCTGCGGTTGGAGCAGTCGATCCGGAAGTCGCAGTGCTCGCCGTCGGTCTCATTCCGGTCACATACCGCCACAGGCCGTGTCGAATCAGCAGAAATTCGACCTTGATCTTCCAGGTTCCATAATTTCTTCCATTAAGCTTGGGAATTCCGAACCGGTCCATCGAATCTTGAAAAATTTCTTCAGCTTGTTGATCGGTACTGCAGAGCTGAAAGTTGAGCACGTTTCTTCGGGACCTTCTGGTCTTAGAGTTACCTCTATGGTACGGGTGTGTGCCGGAAGACTCCACCATAATATCTGCTTTTTTGAGCCGACTTGGCCAGTGTGCCGTCGTGGATCGTCAACACCGTTTTGACATTTGCAGGAAGCCGCTGCAAAAAGAACATTTTCATTAGTCCATCATCAACATTGAGCTCAGCCGCCAGATCCTGCATCCGGGCCAGTAGGTGCGTCGGCTTTCTGCCGCCTAGATCGCAGGAGTTTAACAATTTCTTCATTTTTGCTTGGGCTGACATTTCGAAACTGCTTAGCAGTCTAGTCTTTATCGACAGGTACTTCCGGTGGATTTGCAACCAAATCCGATATCCGACACAACACGCTCTGGTACACTTTGGCAATTATGTAGTAAAATTTAGATGCGTCACGCGTTACTCCTGCCAGAATGGACAAGGTTTCGGGCTTGAGTGAACCAAATAGCCGGATTGTTCTTCCAAAAATCAGGCAGCTTGATAGCTATGGATGCTGTAGCCGCCGGATCTTGCTGCTGTCCAGTCAACATTTCCTCGGTTACTTACTTTTCCTGGTCCGACGTCCCTCAGGATGGCACCTGCGACAATTAACTCGGTTCGTGGCTGCTTGTCTCCAATTTCTTGACCGTCCCACACTTCCTAGATCTTGCTCCGCTTGGTCTAACCACCTTGCTCGCTGTTCTCCTCTGCGTCTTCTACCGGCTTTATTCGAGGCAAACACCATTTTTGCGGGATTCTCACATACCCCGCCAAAGATGGTCCTAAGCACTCGTCGTTCGAAAACACCCAGCGCTTGCAGATCCTCCTCGTCCACGTCTCGTGCCCGTAGAGGACCGGTCTTATCAGCGTCTTGTACATGGTACATTTAGTATGGGCTCGAAGTTTGCCCGACCTCAGGGTCGTGTGGAGACTACCGGCATTTATGCGTCTACGAATTTCTCTGCTATAGTTGTTATCCGACGTCGCCAATGATCCGAGGTACACAAATTCATCCACCACCTCGAACTCATCTCCGTCGATTGTCACGCCGCTGCCTATGCGAGCCCTATCGTGCTCGGTTCCTCCACCTAACAGATACTTTGTCTTCCACGTATTCACCTTTAATCTAACCTTCTCTGCTTCACGTTTCAGCCTGGTGTATTGCTCCGCCATGGCCATGGCGTTCTTCCGACAATGACCACGTCATCAGCGAAGCAGATGAACTGGCTGGACTTATTGAAGATCGTGCTCCGCACTTTTATAACACCTTCTAGCGCAATGTTGAACAGGAGGCAGGAGAGACCATCGCCTTGTCGAAGTCCTTTGCAAATTTCAAACGGGTCCGATAACTCACCCGATAGCTTCACGCAGCACTGTACACGATCCATCGTAGCCCTGATCAGTCTGGTCAACTTGCCGGGAAAACCGTTCTCGTGCATAACCTTTCATAGCTCTTCACGGTCAATAGTATCATAAGTGGCCTTGAAATCGATTTCCTCGGTTAGAGTTACAAAAACAAGATGGCGACGATATTTTTGCGAAAATTTGTACGTACGAAACGCGGTATAACCGACCGTTTTTCACACGATTTTATCACGTCGGGGTCACCAATGTGATGTGCAAGCGTGGACGGATAAAGATGATCGAGTAAAGGAACCCAAAATCAACGATTAAATTTGTATTTAGTCTCCGTACAATTCTTCGCGTGGAGACACGTTCGCAATTTACTTTTGCTCTTACGGCAGTCATCTCTCTCTCTCTTTCTCTAGAGGTGAGTGGCAACCAGGGGTGTGCCAATCTCCACAAACCAATCCACTATTATCTGGGAATATTGGGACCACATTATGCAACCAAGACGACTTCGTTTCGACTGAGGTTTTGAAATCGAAAAATAACAAATATCAGAATTCAAGATGGCGGCTTTCCGGTTTTCTGAAAATCGTGACAACGATACATTTTCAAAGAAACTTGCACTCATACGTTGAAACAAACAAACAAACAAACGAAAACGAACGAGTCCACAAAAACAAAGGCTTTTCGAAGAAATCATAAGCAGTAAAACCAAACGAAAACGACATTGTTAATTACATTATATGGCGTGAATTTTTATCAAAGATTTTACCACCAAAAAGAAAAGATATACATGTACAATAATATAGGCAGACGAAGGAGGAAAAAAAAAACGAATCAAAATCTAAAATATCGAAACATCGATAGGGGTTTTAAAAAAAGAGAGGGGGGTAAACACTGAAAGAAAAATACTGGCATTTTTTTCCATTCTTTAAAAAAAAAACGCAAACGGAGAGGAAGAAAATAGAACGTGTGAAGCACGACGAAGGGAAAAAATCTTTGGAAAAAAATTCAGCCCCACTCCACGATCTCGCGCGTATGGTTATTCTCGCGTTGATAGTTTCAATTGTTTCTCTCTCTATGTATGTGTGTTTGTGTGTGTGTGTGTGTAATGTGTTGATTTTTTTTTCTCTCGCATATTCTCTTGTTTTATCATTCACTACACACTTTCTCGCGTGTTGCAGTAAATCCAAGTGTCTGTGTCTGTGTGTGTTTGTGTTTATATGTTGTGTCCGTTCACGTGTCCTTGTTTTTTTTAATTAATCAAATTAATTAAAAATAATTTAAACAAAAATAATAAAACATACAATAATGGCAGATAGAAATTATATGCATGTGTGTGTGTGTGTGTGTGTTTGTGTTCGGTGTACGACACGCCATTTTTCTTAATCGTTCATATTTCTTCTTTCTTTTTTTTCTTTCGTGGTTTTTTTTAACCACGCCGCCACTCGAATTCGGGAAAATTGTACAGGAAAATTGAAAATCTTAAACGCTTATCAGAGGTTTTGCTTTCGTTCGCTAAATTGGAAGGATCGCGCTACCGCTCACTCTGGACGAGTAAAAACAAAATTGATTTGAGGGGTGTTGTGTAATTGTTCTTACAAATTGGATCCTTGTCCTAAGCACTAAAATTATCAACATATGTTTTGTTTGCTTTTTTTTTTGTTTGATTTTTTTCCGAATTTTTCCTCTCTGTAAGTTAACTTAACTTTCAATCCCTACGAGTAAATTGATTAAACTTAATAACAATTAGTTGCGACCTCCGCCCGCCGTTTCTGTGGCTGTATGTGTGTTTGTGTATGTGTACTGATCGTCGTACTTTCCGACCGCATCTCACAAGTGGATGCAACTCAAGGTAGTAAGTATTAGCTGCTACTGCTGTCGCCATCTGCCGCACGTTCTGATGCCAGCTCCGGCCACTCGGAATTCGACACTGTCCGGAACTGGCATCACAAACGTCGGTACCAATTCCACACGTTCGATTCGAAATTCTGGTAAAGTTTCCCCTTTAATTGTCTTCCTAGTTTATACACATTAATGCAGTAATAACAATATTCAACTTATTTGCTTCATGTTTGTCTACCTTGTAACTTATATGCTTCATTTTAATATTAATTTTCTCCGTAATTAATTTGGGCACACTGTCGGTCTCTATCTGATAAAGTGGGAAATAGTTGTAAAATAACCGAAAATACTACAAGGAATTAAACATTTTAGAACAGGAAAAAATGCATCTTTGCTGCTTTTGAATACTTATCGAAGGTAAATTATAGGAAAAAAAACAACAGCTAATAGTCGAGTCTAACTCTTCTGAAAAAAATTCTACATCAAAACTCACGGAAGATAGTCAACGTTAAATACCGGATACCTTTTAGCTCAAGTATCTTCTCCTAATAATGCTATTTGTCTCTGTTTCTTTTTTAAGTGTTAACGAAATTACAATACTACCCAATCACACACTACTACTAGAACAACTGTGTCTGTCATTTTCATACGTGTGTTTGTGTGTGTGTGTGTGTGTGTGTGTGTATGTATTCTTATTCATTCTTCTGTATGTGTGTGTGTGTGTGTGTTCATTTGCCAGAGCCAGAAACCAGCGGTCATCAAGTTAGAAAGAGTTAGCGTAAAAAAGAATAACTATTCCGACAATGTTAATAATAGTGTAAACGATAAAGTATATGTAACCTTGCTGTATGTATGTATGTGTGTGTGTTTGTTGAATAATCCTTGATTCCCTGGTCGTCGGCCTACCCCCGTTCGCAACTGACCGGAAGCGACACCACGCACGCACGCACGCACGCACGTGCGCATTTTCGCACTTGTTCCGCTCACTTTACTAGATTCTATTACTACCACTACTACTACTTCTACAACTGCTACTGCTTCTTTTACTCTAAAAACTATATAAATGTTACTCCTTCCCATCTCCCGTTCCTTTTTCCGCGGCCCACCGAAACAAATTTTCAAACTCTTTCTCTCTCTCTCTCTCTCTCTTTCGCTCTCGGTCGCTCTCTTTCAACAACCACCCAACCAACCAACCAACCAGCCGGCTACTGCAGACACGGATTGTCGTTTACATGTTCTCGAACTGATCCACGCGGCGCTTGGTGTTGCCTTTGCGGATTTCGCGCAGCGTCTTGTACTTGTCCCGCCCCTGGCGGACGTTCTCGCGGTGGATCTTATCGTTGGCCGTCTCCATCGTGTCGTCCCGCGAGAGGGCCAGGTCTTGCTTGAGGGCCTGCGAGGGAAGAACAAAAAAACGGGTCGTATTAGATTACAGGTTGACCAAGGTGAAATTCTACACTCGAAAAAATTCGCACGTTAGAATAATGTGGTTCACCACCTACATGTACTCATTTCTAACAACGAACTAAGTCTGCTTGGGACTTAACATCGTAACAAATTTGTATCGTTAGTCGTGACATAGTGTGCGCCCTGTGTATTGTTGAATGCAGCGTCCGTTGACGATGTTTAGGTAGCAATGGAATGTGGCAAACATGAGTCGGGGGTAGTGGCAAGCAATCTGCCGCTAACCTGGTAGTGGTAAGTGTTCTCGTGTGTTCCACTAAAATTAGAAGGAGTACGACAAAGGTTGTCCTAACAAAGTTAATCTTCTATACAAGTGTAACGATTGTCTGTCTAGTTGTGACGAGGCGAGTATGATCAGAGATGTTATGCCTCAGAACATCCCGGCGGTGCTGACTGGGATTGAATCCAGGCCTGCTGGAGTGAGAGGTAATCACGCTTACCACTACACTACCGGCGCCGCTAAAAACACATACTTTACAACCTCTTCTTGTTACTGACAAGTATAAATTATCATTATAACATCTAATAATTTCATAATTCCGAAAAACATATTTTTATTGCATGTAAGTGGAACCAAGCCTGTTTTCCAGCTGGTTCCTTTTTTATAACCTCTTTATTTTCTGGACAATCTCTTGCTGGTATATTTTTATCGGTCTCTACATTTACTGGATTTTTATTTATTTCAAGCTTCACTCTCATTCTCTTCTTGGTCTTTCGCTCTTTCAGACATCTGTCTTTAACGGATCCCTCTCATTTGTTCCTCTCTGCTAGCCTTTTTTCTAGGCTCTGACTTTATCTGACTTCTCTTTTCCGAACTCTGTCTCTACTGCCCTTTTTGTTTGGTAATTATCTCTCTCTGTTGCCGATCTCTTTCGTCTTCTGGTGTCTCTTTTTCTAGTCTCTCTTTTGTTGGCCTTTCTTAGTTTAGTTTCTTCTCTTTCTGGTCTTTTCTTTTCTGGTTTCTCTATTTATGGTCCGTTCATTTTCCTCGTCCCTTGGATTCTGATTTCCCACTTCCTGCCTGTAACCACATTTCAGTTCCATATGTAAAAACAGCAAACCGAGAAAATAGCAAGTAAAGCTGGAATCATTTTTTTAACGTACATATAGGGGAAATGTCTCTAATGTTGGCCTATGGATCTAAGATTGGGCCCATCGCTAAAAATCTGCTATTTATCAACTTTATCTAGATGAACGCGTTATTGGGACGTTACTAATGGATATTTTTGGTTGCTATTGAAAATTTAGTCGCTTGCTGAGTTTATGTATGGGCCCAAATTAGGGACACTTAGGCCGACATTACCTGCATTTCCCCTATTTCTCGCATGATTTAAATAAAACCTAAGATTTGTGCCATTAGGTGAGAAAACCACTCTCTGAAAATTTCAGCTCGTTCGGATGTAACACAAGCTGGCGCTTTTGATTTAAAATTTATATGGGGATATTTGTTGAAATGTATGGAGAAATAACATTTCTTCACTCTTTCGTGCATAGATAGAACTGGTTCAGCAAACTCGATTAAGGTGAAAGTTAATGCTCTTCCGTTAATACTGAATCCACACCCGTTCAAACCACACCCAAATTCGAAATGGACCAATACCAACAAACATTGCAAATTAGAAAAATGGGAAGTATTGAAATTTTGAACATATTCGTAAACACAATTTTATTGTATAATAATAATAACTCTACTACTGAAATGACAACTTCAATTCCAAGATTCCAAGTTCAGGGTTGTCCTACTAATGCTCAGGGAAGACTTGCTGTAGTACAGGGAAGGAATGCCGAACTTCAGCGAAGTCCTGATGAAGTTCAGGGAAGCCTTGCCGAAGTTCAGGGAAGCCTTGCCGAAGTTCAGGGAAATTCTGCGGAAATTCAGAGAAGTTCTGTTGAAGTTCAGGTAAGTTCTGCCGATGTTCAGGGAAGTTTTTCCGAACTATAGGGAAGTCCTACCAATGTTCAGAGAACTCCTGTCGAACTTCAGAGAAGTTCTACCGAAGTTCAGAGAAGTTCTACCGAAGTTCAGGGAAGTCCTGCCGAAGTTCAGGGATGTTCTGCCTAAGTTCAGGGAAGTCCTTTCATTCCAATTCTTGGAAATCAGGGAAGTCCTGATGTAGTTCAGGGAACTCATGCCGAAGTGCGGAGAAGTTCTGCCGAAGTTCAGGGAAGTTATGCCGAAGTTCGTGGAATTATCGAATTATCTTTAAAAATACCCAGCTGTATCAGAATACCTTCATCAAAAAGGCTGAAATTTTCACAGAACATCCTCAAATACTTGTGAAACAACATGTGAAAATTGAGGAACCTTTTGATTTGAAAAATACTTCATTTAACAATGGCAAAGGTGGGTGATTTCTAAAATATTTCCAATTATCTTTAAAAATATCCAGATAGGGGAAATGGCTCTAATGTTGGCCTATAGATCTAACATTGAACCCATAGCTAAAAATCTGCTATTTACTAACGCGTCATTGGGACGTTACTAATGGATATTTTTGGTTGCTATAGAAAATTTAGTCGATTGCTGAATTTATGTATGGGCCAAAATTAGGGACACTTAGGCCGACGTTACATACATTTCCCCTATATTAGAAAACCTCCATCAAATAGGCTGAAACATTCACAGAGTAGCTTTCAATTAGCTTACACATACACACACTTGAATTGTTTTTATTATTTCACAAATACACGCGTCGTGTTGGTTTAGAAATACTCTCAATTTAGAAATATTTTTACTATTTATTTTCAAGCATTTTCATAATGGAGTTCTTGCGATTAACGCATAGATGACAATGCCGAATAACATCCGTTTTCTATTATCGATATTTTTCGTAAAATATTTCGAGTTGAAATACCAAAAGATATCTTACAATATGTATCAATTATTTCGAATGAAAAACGTCACGTCCGGGCAATCGATTGCACGTGGTCTCATAGACCGGAAAACTTTGTAGGTATGTGTTTTGGAACTTTGGAACCCCATTTTCCCCTACTTTTTGGAGGAAATGTTTTTTTACAGCTCTATTTTTAGTAAATCATAAGCACTTTATGCATGGTTTTAGAATACTATATCTTTAAACAACAGTTCATGAGATGTTAGGGGAATACGGGGCACACTTTATAGGGGAGTAAGGGGTAAAATGAAAATACAATCAATGTTTTTTAATACAAAATCCATTTTTTTAATAGGGGAATTTACGTATTCTCGGCAACCTAAGCAGCGACCTTCTTTCTATAACCTTTTTCTCTAAGGAACGCACACATATGCAGTATTGGTTTGTTTACAATCTTTTGCTGCCAGCTGCTCTAACAATTTCAGTCGAAAGAATTGTCAAAAACTGTTTTGAAACGCTTTTACAAAGCTTCAAACTTCTCTAGTGAGAACGAGTATTGTCGGCAACCAGTTTTTCTTCGGCAACCGTTCCATTTGAACTGCATGTAAATCTGCTGTTCTATTATCGGCAACTCGAAATCAGCTACAATTTGTAGAGCGTGTGTTGCATTTCAAGAAAACCTTGCTAAATTGCTTTTTCTCAGTGGTAAACATATAGTCAAATTGAAGCTGAAAGCATAAAGAATCGTTTGCATGCATTCAGCGGAGTGATTTCGTAAGAAAATCCAGTGAAAATAGTGTTTCAATTTGGGTTGCCGAAAATAGTCTGCCATGCCGAAGCCGTCATTTCCCCTATCATAATATTTTTTTTCTGAAAAATACTTTTAATTAACTTTCATTTGGTATTTTGAGTTCCGTCATCAACCAAACAGTTCAAAAGTTATAAATTTTTGAAAAAAATAAAAAAAAAAAATTTTTTGACCGCCTTAATATATAAATAGGGTAACCAACTTGAATTGGACCCCTACATATTTTGGACCCTTTTCATATATTTTCCTCGCTTACTGTCTAGTTTCTTCAAATTCATCTGGGTTGATGTTGTAATTACATTCTTTCAATTACTTGCTATGTCTCAAGATCATTAGTTCACCTCAAATTGCTTACAATTGCTCAATTTATGCAGTTTTAGAAAATGTTATCGAAAAAGTTTCATGTTTCGACTTTTGTCAAGAGGAATCGGCGTTAGTGTACTTGTTTTAAATTTGGTCTAAAATATACAATTCAATGATTTTTTTTTATCAAATCAGTTCATCTGACTTTGGAAGATGTATTTCACGTGTTTATAAAGATTTAACCTTAAGATTTTACTTAAAAAGTATTGAATAAAAAGTGTCCAAAAAAGATCGTAAAAAAATGTTACCAACTTATTTTGGACACTTATCAAATGAGAATCATCAAAAGAGCGACAAAAAAATTCCGGTTGGTCGATCGTGCTATTATCTCAGATTTCTGATTAAATTGGTAAGTAAATCAATCAAAATTATATGAATTCATTGTTTTTAAATATATTTCTTGTTTATCAGGCGATTCAAAATGGGAAAAACGGCAAAACACGTAGAGTGGTCCACTCTGAGTTTTCCTAGTTTTCCACAAAAGTTTTCCTATCTCCCAAACGCATTTAACTAAGGGGCTGTTCATAAACTACGTAGACGCTTTAGGGGGTGGGAGCGCTTGGTAGATGTCTACGGTCCATACAATTTTTTAAATTTTGTGTTTGAGACTGTCTTCTACGGAAGGGGGGCCCCGTTGAAATCTCTCAAAAACCGTCTATGTAGTTTATGAACAGCCCTGCAAGCATAGAGTCAGGTCTCCGTATTGAGATTTACTTCTGAATGATTTTTTTTTATGGTATGATCAGTTGTTTCCTTATGTTATATTATATTTCCTCCGTTACTCGCGCCAACTTTTGTAACACGAGTACTCAAGTGAGTTTTCCATTTCCATTTTGCAGCCGAGCTACCAATCGATCTGAAATCAACGAGTATTCCTCAAAAAACTTGCTTTTAACTAAACAAGCTAAATATTTATTACAGTTA